TTTCAACAATACCATTTTCCTTTTGAGGGAAAGGTCCCCTCTGCAGGGAACACAATATAGATACTGGGAACTGATCCATGCCATGAAGCGTTTGTAACAGCCCCCAAACTCACAGATCACTGAAACATAACATGCCTCTGGTGGGGTCAACAACCCAAAGTGTACAAACAGTTGAGAATGTCCCTCATAATGGAGCATACTCTGACACAGAAGGCATGGTCTAGTCATAAATGACCTGCCTTGAGAGTCCCTCAAAGAGATACCAGCCAAGGAAAAAAATGGCCTGGGTCAAAAGGCATTAACAGACATAGGAGCAACATCAAGGAGATTAACTTAATAATAATAGCAATGGAGGATACTGAAAATGCCTACATAAGCAAAATAAAGACATTCAAATAGAATTTTCTTAGTATATGTCCAGTCAGCTGGAGCAACTTTTACCAAACCCATGGCAAAAAGTAATACCAAAAATGGAATTGTTGATATAGGCCAGGGGTGACACTGCATTACAGTTAGAGTGAATACCTTAAAACCCAAAATAATCCATTAATGTTCCAAGAATCCACCATGTGTAGACCAGCAAGCCTCCAGAATAGCTGGAGCAGGGCTGCAGCCTCAAGTTTCTGCCATGTGTGAACTGACTGGCTTCTGGGGGTGGTCAAAGTAGGGCTGAAGTCCTATTTTCATTGTCATTGTTTGCTCTTGGCTTTGAGGGCAGGCGTATCATTATTCCCTTGGTCTTTTTTAGTCCTAGTGAAGGAGAGTGCCCCTCAGAACCCCTCCCTGTCCTCTGAGAAAAAGCTGCCCTCCACCTGACTCTGGAAATCCCCTTTCCTGGTATATCTGTTTATGATTTCTATAGAAATGGTCTGGAGCAGAAGAGATAGAACGTTCTGCCCCAGGTAAGCTAGCCAATGGCAGTATACCTGATACATCTGTGTATGGTTTCTATGGGAATAATCTGGGGCAGAAGAGAAAGAATGTTCTGCACCAGGTAAAATAGCCAATGGGTGTATAGGTAAAGTCTCTGGAAATCAGCCCTAGATTGTTCCAACCCTTTCCTGGTTATTCTGTGTATAGTTTCTATGGACATGCCCTGCTTTGTGGTTTTTGTGGGTTTTCTGCTTAAAAGCCCTGCATTTTCACTGTTCAGGGTCGCAGTACAGCTCCCAAGACTATCTGTGTCCTCAACTGGTTGGCTCCAATAAAGCACTCCCTTTTACTGAGACTCAGTGTTGGAGTGGTCAATTTAGGAAATTTTACGGACCCCAAACATTTTGGGGGGCTCTGTCCAGGATTCCCTGAAAACCCTCGGTCTGTTTTCCTGACTTTTTCTGACTTCCATCTGGCGCCTGGAGACTTCAGTTCTGGTTCCTCCCTAGGTGAGTCTGTTTTGGGTTCTGTTCTGACTGTCCAGACTTCTGGGGGCTCAAAGGAGAGAAACTGGACACAGTATTGCTCCCCGAGGAGGACGGGGGATGCCCCAACCCTCCATCTGATTGGATGACTGTCTATGGCCTCCGGGCATTTGGCATTGACCTGTTGCTCCTGCAGTGACCATCGAATGCATGATTCCCTAACATGCACCACTTTTGTTCTGTGTCGTCCTGCTGTCAAGTCTTTGTTTCCTGTTTTACTGGTTCTCATTGGTCTTTGTTTTGGATTAATCCTCTTCTTTTCCATTATGGGTCAGATTCCTTCATCTGAAGATACTCTCTTTGACCTAATTCTCATTTTAGATTTCCAAAAAGCAGCTGCAATCTCTGGAGACACTGTTTATTCAGGGAAATTCCGGACCCTCTGTTCTCTTGAATGGCTGTCCTTTGATGAAGGATGGCCCTCTGCTGGTTCTTGAGATTAGCAAGCTTTCTTCTCTTCAGGCGTGATCTTTGGAAGCCCAGGACACCCTGATCAGGTGTCTTATGTCATGGTTTACTTTTACCTTTTGGACAAACCTCCAAAATGGTTGCATTCACCAGCCCACCTGGGATGATGTCCAACAACGCCTTCTCACCCTCTTCACCACTGAGGAACGCACCCAGATCCTCTCTGAGGCCCGGAAACAGGTACCGGCCAAAAGTAGCCCATTTACTGAGGATCCTGAGGCGATCAAGGAATTTTCCCTTGCCACCACCTAGATTGGGATCCCAACACCCCTGCAGGTAGGAAGTCACTCAGACTCTATCGCCAGATTCTTGCGGGGATCTCCAGGCCACTACAAAAAGGCCTACAAATTTGTCAGAAGTCGGCCAAAAATGGCCGATTTACTGAGGATCCTGAGGTGATCAAGGAAATTTTCCCTCATCGCTGCCCAGATTGGGATCCCAACACCCCTGCAGGTAGGGAGTCACTCAGACTCTATCACCAGATTCTTATGGGGATCTCCAGGCCGCTGCAAAAAGGCCTACAAATTTGTGAAAAGTCAGCCAGGTTTTGCAGGACAAAAGACTTGTTGAAGGAACTTCAACACCTGGGGTATTAGTCACTGCCACTGCCCTGCCCCACCAGCATCTCCCACCTATCCACCTGCCGCCTCGAGACCACTGGGAGGAAGCAAGAGGGAGGCCGCCTGTGGGTTTGTAACTGCTGCTGGTCCACCCCACTTGAGAACAATTGGAAGAAGGTATGTACAGGCTCTCCTCTGCAAGGAAAAAGGCCGTCCTGGACATCCCCATTCTCCAAAGTCAAGGGAAGTCAGAGAATTCCTGGGGTCAGTTGGATATTGTTGCCTACAGTTCTATTTGAATTTTGAAAAGTTTATATCACATTTGGGAGTGACTTACAAAGAAATGGCTTCTCATAACCCACAGGCCATTCAAGCCCACCAGTAGTCTTCATCAGCTTTCACGGGCTGTGCCATGCGCCCTCTCACCCCATGGTCTGAGTGCCTCATCTCACCCTGTGGAGCCCATGGGATGGGCAGAATGCTCCCCAGCGGTCATGCGCTTCACTCCAAGTTCCAATATGGCCACAGCTCCACCCCTTTCCCCAGGGTGCCCCGTGTCACCCCCTCTTTTCACCCACATCTAGGCCTCAATCTCCCTCTCAAAGAATTAAGAACCACAAGTGTATAAGGTCCTTTGAGGAAAAATGAGATTTGTTTTTTGGTTTTGTTGTTTTGCTGAGAAAGGGTCTCATGCAGCTGAAACTGACACTGAACTCAATATGTAATTAATCATGACATTGAACTAGGACCAGATTTTGCCAATTTGGCTTCAATATGTGACCACTTTAACAATTTTGAAATACTCATAAGTCTATCCCTAGGAAAAGAAATATTATCTTTCCTTATGCCATAAATATGAGGAAAAACAAAGGGAAATAAGTAGAGACAGCACTTAACAGGATGAAAAGAAAATAATAGATTATAATCTTTAATTCCGATACCAGTTGTAAATATTTATGTATCTGATTTCAGAAGTTGTGTATGTTTTCCTACCAGTCACACTTGTTCTATGTTGGTGACACACAAGAAATAAATTATACTTAAGGGATAGTTTTTACAACAATGTTCTTAGACATACACTAGAATAAAAAACATGGTATGGTTGTAATAGGGTACCTTCTTGACCATAGCTACACCATGTTAAAGCTTAGGCTGACTCTAGTTTCTGAAATTATCAGGAAATTAGCCCAGGGTATGGGAACACATGCCAGCTGGACTCTGGTTGTCTTGGGAACAGGTCAGAGTGTCCTAGAGTGCTCCTGCTCACTGCTGATTTATGGCTTCTGTAGATTATGCTTGGCTTGCTTCTGTAAAATAGTAATTGTTGCTTAATAGAAATTATTAAGGGGGCTCTCCACCTGTATGCTTGGGAACTCAAACTATTCACTCCTGGTTATAGTTTCGCTATACAAGAAGTATCCCACACTATTTAGAGGTTCCTAAGACACAATTGCTATATAACAAAACCCCCCTAAGAGGGAACTTTGTGACCAGTAAAGACAACGTAGAATAACGGTAAGATTGATAATGTCTGTTTATGAAAGAGGAGGAAGCTAGTTCCATGCAGGTGGGGGGTTTGGATGGAAAATTGCATTTTCATATGTATTTCCTTGAAAATGTTTCCTCAAGCTTAATGCTCAATGATTGCTTCTGTATTCTGCTTGCTTGCTTGCTTGCTTGCTTAGCAACATAAACAATATAAAAGAGCCAAAGTGCTTAGGCTCGGGGCTGCACTCAAACCAACTAGCAAAGAGTGTAGCCCGACTGTAATAAATCTTCCTTTCTTTCTCCAGACTAACCTGTTTGTCTGTTTTGGGAATTTGGGACCACAGACTACAACATGGTGTAAAGGGATCATATATAACATGTACAGATGTAACAAAATGATAAATAAATCTGGAATTCAATCTCTTTGGTTTAAGATTCCTGTCTTCTTTGGCCAGGTGAGGTGGTGCATGCCTTTAATCCCAGCACTGAGGAGACAGAGGCAGGCAGATCTCTGTAAACTGGGGGACATATGGTCTCCATAGCAAATCCAAGCCAGCCAGCTGTGGCTATAGGGGACACTGTCTCAAAAACATCAAAAAGAAAAAGAAAAAAAGAGAAAGGTTCCTGTCTTCAGTGATGTTATCTAATCATGGAGACATAAAGACAATGCAGTAAGTGACAATATCTAAATACTTGTGTATACTGGGAACTTGCAATCAAGAATGATATACAAAAGAGCACATAAACGCATATTAAATGTGCACATTATGTGAAGTATCACAAAGGCAGAGTTTTGACATAAATTGATATACATAGAAGAATATTCTGGGATGTAATGTGCACTACTAGATATTTGACAACCTGGCTAGATTCTGTTCACTAGATTCAATATCTACTACCAACCTGCAGTTATGACAAGGAATGCACTAAACTGGCAATGACACTATCATTAATAGAATATGCTAATTTGCAATAACATACTTAACAATTTCACTGGAAAATTAATACTCAAGTTACATAAACTGATAATTTGTAAAAACAAATTTATGAAACAAAAACTAGAAAATTTTACTATGAACTTTATTGAATTAAGAGTTCATTATTAAGGCTAGGCATGGTCACACAGACCCCTAATCCAATTTATTGGGAAGATGAAACAGGACAGTAATGAATATGAGAAGAGTTTGAGAACAAATCAGTTTGAAGACAAGCTATGATCCAGAAAAAAATTCTCTCAAAAACTAAAACAGGATTGTTGCATTCTCAAGTCTTCACCCACACAGAAGTAGGTATTTCAGTGATGCAACAGGTTTTCTGTATCTACTCCCTTAACCATACTCCTTTAATCCCAATACAAGCAGTTTACATTTCATACACACACACACACACACACACACACACACAGTCTCGTTTCACTGAAAATTCGCAATAAGGGTTATTACTTTACCTTATTACATATATTTTGTGATAACTGATTAATAAGCACATAAAACAACAACACAAATGACTATAAGAACACTCTTGAATTTAAAAAAGGACACTGTCACCTGTTGCCAAACACCCAGCCCAACTAATACTTTCAAATTAAAATATCAAGTCACTTTTATAAATGACGTTATATGTGCTGAATGCCTCTTCTACAGGCCTAATGATCATATAGTTCAGTATGACACTACAAACCCAAGTGAACTTAAGCCAACATATTTTCCTGTCTGTACTCCTGGTAGGTTTCAAGGCAATATGTGATACCACTCCCTGACATTGTATTTTGTGAATTCATTAAGTGTTGCTGTGAAAAACACTCAGGTCAAAAGCATTTTCAGGGAGGAAAGGAGTTTGTGGCTTACAGTTCATCATTGAAAGAAATTAGGGCAAGAACTAGAAGCTGAAACCATGGAGGACCACTGATGGCTTGGCATGCTCAGGTTCAGGCTCAGTTAGCTTCCTTGTATAGCTAAAGACCATCTGCCCAAGGAAAGGTACAAGTGACAACAGACAATCCCCCACAGACATGCCCACAGGCAAATATGATTTAAGAAATTTTTCTATTGAAGCTCTCTTCTCAAATGATACAAAGCTCTATGAACTTGACAGCTAAAATAGGATAAGATATTGCACAGCATGAATCTTATGTACAGAGATCAAAATGAAAAAAGGTTTCTTGAACAAATATAAGTTATCTGATATTAAGGTCTGATTTATGGTAGGAAGTTTATATACATTCATTGACTAGTAACAATTACACAGTAACAATTACACAGTGTCTTATTACAGTAGGGTCTACTGTATTCTTCATATTCAGTTTCTTGCCTGTAGAAGGTTTATGATATTGAGAATTCAAAATAAAGTTTTCTTACATTTTGTACGCTCATAAGATTAATCACCTGTATAAAGTATCTGATGAAGACTGAGGTATTAGTAAGCATTCCTATATATCTACATTTGTAAGTTTTCCTGTTTGCATGTGTACTATGGTATACAATGAGTTTGACTTTCAGTACGAAGCTTTATTGCATTCATTATATTGATAAGTCTCACCTTTTTGATTACTCTGATATATACTGAGGTACAACTTGCAGCTTTCCAACACTCAAATTTTACCAACTATATGATGTATCCGATGTTGCGTGAGTTTTCCCTTGCAGGAGAAAGCTTTCCCACAATCTTTACATTCATAAGGTTTCTCACCAGTATGAATTCTCTCATGTGTAGTGAGTTGTGATTTCCAGTAGAAAGTCTTCCCACATTCTGAACATAAAAAGAGTTTATCACCTGAATGGGTTTTCTGATGTATAGTGAGACCTGACCGGAAATAGAAAGTTTTACCACAGTCTTTACATTCATAAGGCTTCTGACCTGTATGGATTCTCTGATGTTTAGTGAGGTGTGATTTGCAATAGAAAGCTTTCCCACATTCTTTACACTCATAAGGTTTTTCACCTGTATGAGTTCTCTGGTGTATAGTCAGGCCTGACTTAAGGCAGAAAGCTTTTTTGCATTCTTTACATTCATAAGGCTTTTGACCTGTATGAATTCTCTGATGTTTAATGAATTGTGATTTGTAATGAAAACCTTTCTTGCATTCTTCACATTCAAAACGATTCTCACCTGTATGACTTCTTTGATGTACAGTGAGCTTTGCTTTGCAGTAGAAAGCTTCTCCACATTCTTTACACTCAAAAGGCTTCTCACCTGTATGAAGTCTCTGATGTATAGTGAGGTAAGACTTGACATAAAAGGCTTTCCCACATTCCTTACATTCATAAGGCTTCTCACCTCCATGAATTCTCTCATGTTTAGTGAGTTCTGAATTACAATGGAAAGACTTCCCGCATTCCTTACATTCATGAGGCTTCTCATCTGTATGAACTCTTTGATGTCCGGTCAAGTGTGATTTGCAGTAGAAAGCCTTCCCACATTCTTTACACTCATAAGGCTTCTCCCCTGTATGAGTTCTGTAATGTACAGTAAGATCTGACTTAACATAGAAAGCTTTCCCACACTCTTTACATTCATAACTCTTCTCACCTCTATGAATTCTCTCATGTACAGTGAGATGTGATTTGTTGGAGAAAGTCTTTCTACATTCTTTACATTCATAGGGTTTCTCACCTGTATGTGTTCTCAGATGTACAGTGAGCTGTGACTTTCGGAAGAAAGCATTCCCACATTCTTTACATTCATAGGGCTTTTCACCTGTATGAATTCTCTGATGTACATTCAAGGATGACTTGAAATAGAAAGCTTTCTCACACTGTTTACATTCATAAGGCTTCTGACCTGTATGAATCCTCTCATGTCCAATGAGGTGTGATTTGCAGGAGAAAGTCTTTCCACATTCTTTACATTCAAATGGCTTCTGACCCTTATGAGTTTTTTGATGTACACTGAGCTTTGATTTGCAATCAAAAATCTTCATGCATTCTTTACACTCATAAGGCTTCTCACCTGTGTGAGATCTTTGATGTATAGTGAGAAGTGGTTTGCGGTAGAAAGCTTCCCCACATTCTTTACACTCATAAGGTTTCTCACCTGTATGAGTTCTCTGGTGTATAGTGAGGCCTGATCTGAGACAGAAAGCTTTACCACAGTCCTTACATTGATAAGGTTTCTCACCTGAATGAATTCTCTGATGACTAATGAGTTGTGATTTGTAGTGGAAACCCTTCATGCATCTTTTACATTCAAAACGATTCTCACCTGTATGGGTTCTCTGATGCAGATTGAGCTTTGTTTTGCAGGAAAAAGCTTCCCCACATTCCTTACACTCATAAGGCTTCTCACCTGTATGAATTCTCTGATGTATAGTGAGGTATGATTTGAAATAGAAAGCTTTCCCACATTCTTTACATTCATATGGTTTCTCACCTGCATGAATTCTCTCATGCCCACTGAGGTGTGATCTGCAGTAGAAAGTCTTCCCACATTGTTTGCATTCATATGGCTTCTCACCCGTATGAGTTCTTTGATGTACAGTAAGGTCTGACTTAACATAGAAAGCTTTCTTGCATTCTTTACATTCATAAGGTTTCTCATCTCTATGAAATCTCTGATGTACAGTGAGCTGTGATTTCCAGTAGAAAAATTTGCCACATTCTTTACATTCATAAGGCTTCTCACTTGAATGAGCTCTCTGATGTTTGGCGAGCTGTGATTTGTACTGGAAACTTTTCATGCAGTCTTTACATTCAAAAAGATTATCACCTGTATGAGTTCTCTGATGCAAAGTGAATTCTGACTTCTGGTAGAAAGTTTTCTTGCACTGTATACACACATAGGATTTGTTACCTGTATGGAGTCTCTCCTGTTGGATGAGGGTTGACTTATAATCCAACTCTTCCCTCCATTTCTTATAGTTACATAGTTTCTCATATGGGTGATATATCTGACTCCCACTGTACTGTGACTTCTGGTAAAACACATTTGTACATGATTTTTCTTCACAGGATTTTGTCCCTTGGTATATTTTTGCATGAACCTCTGGTTCTACCTTGAAACAGAAAAATTTGTTATTTATTTTATATACTTTTACGTATTTTATTTTATATATCATTTCTTAATACATTCTTATTTATGTATGTATGAGTGTGTTTTCTTTTCTGTATGTACAAAACATGCATGCAGTGCCAGGAGGCCAGAAGGGGTAGGGGCATGTCCAAGGTCCAGGAACAGGAATTTAAGATGATTGTGAGCCACCTGATGAAATGGTTGCTGAGCACACAACTCAGCTTCTCTGCAAGAGGAGCAAATAATTTTTTATTTTGAAGACATGTAGAACTTCTTAGACTGTCTTAGATCTTATAATGATCTGTCTGCCTCTACCTCCTGAGTGCTGGGAATAAAGGCTTGTGCCGCCACACCCAACATGAATCATCATCTCTTGATGCAAAATTTCACATAAACATAACATTCACATTTCACTGCAATATCTATTTTTCCTTGTTGACTGAGTTTGGTTGCATCAAAACTTTGCTTCTTTGGTAATAAGGATAATCTCATGAAAGGATTTCCTATATTTACTGAACTGTTAGATAGCTCTCAAAAAAGAAAACTTATGTGAGAATTTTTACTTATGGAAGTATCTTCCAAAATAGTATAAATTACACTTTGATTCTTGTTAATAGCATAATAGGATGAATGAAGGATTTATTAACATTAAAACTATCAGGTTCTAGGGGCTGGATGTCTTAGCAGTTAAGAGCATTGGCTGCTCTTGCAGATGACCCAGATTCGACTCCCAGCATCCACATAGTGGTTCACAGTCATCCTTAATTCAAGTTCCCAAGGATCTAACACCATGTTCTGACCTCTGCGGGCATTTCACAACAGGGATGCACTTATATTCATTCAGCCAATACACTCGTACACACATAAAATAAAAATAATATTTAAAAAAAATAAAAAAACAATCAGATTAATCCACCCTGCATCTATCCTTGTTCAAGGTACAAAGGTAGTACATTTTCTACGACCTAAGTTCCTGAGGAAAGATTTTTGTAATCAGTTCCACCCTTTATGCTCAGATTTGAAATACAGTTTGATCTCACATTAAATTTCACCTACTTCAATCATCTCTTCACTTGATGTATTGCTGTTAGTGATTTCAATTTGCCACAAATAACTGTCTTCAATTTCTTGGCTGGTTTCAATTGGGCCACTCATATTATGGGCACCTAAAATGACATTAAAGGTATCAATATCCATGATGAATGTATTAGATTTTTTATGCAATATAATTAGAAAAGCAAAGCAGCATCTTATTCTCATAATGAAAGTGATGAAGTATGTTTTATAGATGTACACACCTAAGTTGTTAATAAGTAAAACACATTACAGTGCTAAATGATGTTAGTTTGGCTACAGAGATGGCTCAACAGTTAGGAGCACTGGCTGCTCTTGCGGAGGACTTGGATTCAGTTCCCAGCACCCACATGGCAGCAATCAACCATCCATAATTCCAGATCAAAGGGATCCAATACCTTCTGGTTTCTGTGGTCACTGCACTCACTTGGTACACTTACATACATACAAGCAAAATGCTCATACACCTAAAATGCAGCTAAATAAATCTTTAAATTATGTTTCGTAGTTGCATTCCTGAGTTGCTAAAATTACATGTAGAGATAAAATATTTCTGTAATTACCAGTTTTAAAGATTTATTTTTAATTAGGTATGTGTGTGTGTAGGGATACATGCATGTGAATGTCAAGTGCCTGTGGAGGCCAGAAGAGGATGTTCAATCCAGGGGAGCTGGAGTTATAGGCACACCTGACTTGTGTGTACTCTTAACGGCTGAGATGTCTCCCTCCAGCCCCTGTGATGTTTTAAACATTTCTTTCCGCATATGGACCTATTAATACTTAGTAAAAAACAAAACAAAAAACCCATATTTTTACTAAAAAAGAAATAGAAATTTCAACACATAAATTACACAGAAAACAACTTTAATATGCATGGCTGAGAATGTCAAATTCAAACATTTTTATTTTTATTTTATGTGTTATGAGTATATTGTGTGCATGTATGTAAGTGCAACAGATTTGCGCAATGCCCTTAAGAGTGCAGAAAAGGGCATCATATGGCCTGGAACTGGAGTTATGGTTGGTTATTAGCCACCAGGTGGGTGCTGGGAATTGAACCCGGTTCCTCCGCAAGAGCAGCCAAGAGTCTTAACCACAGAGTCACCTCTCCAGCCCCAAATTCAAATTTTTAAACTCAATTTGTGGGACTTAAATAAAGAACATAACAGATAATATTTCCTGAACTTGAAGATAATCACATTCCCCTTACACCTTTTTCTGTGCTCTCCCTCTACCTTATTCAGTTCCACTTCTGAAATCCACCCAATTCTACCCTTTAAATTCTAAATTTAAACCTGTATTCTCCATGAGAGATAATGTGGTACATGTCACAAGTTTGACCTGCTTCATTTAACATGATGAGCCTCCCTTACATCCTTCCACCCCACAAAGTTTGGATCTTTTCATGATTGGATTGTATTCCTTTTTTTTTGGTCTTTTTGAGACAGGGTCTCCCTGTAGCCCCAGCTGTCCTGGAACTCACTATGTAGACCAGGCTGGCCTTGAACTCACAGAGATCCACCTGCCTCTGCCTCCCGAGTGCTGTGATTAAAGGCGTGTGCCACCACATCCAGCTTGTATTCCATTTTTATACAGACCTCATATTAATCCATGAATTCACTAATAAGCACACAAGCTAATACAATATCTTGACTATTGTAAATAATGGAACAATAAACAAATAATATAACTGAAAGCTATTTTCAATGTATGCTACCTTTTTTAAAAAAAAATTATTTTGTGGGGCTGGAGAAATGGCTCAGCAGTTAAGAGCACTGACTGCTCTTGTAGAGGACCCAGGTTCAATTCCCATTACCCACAAGGCAGCTAGGAACTGACCTTAACTCCAGTTCCAGGGAAATCCGAGGCCCTCTTCTGATCTCTGTGGCACTGCATGACATGGGTGCACTCACATACATGCAGGTCATACATTCGTACACATAAAATAAAAATAACAAATAAAATATCTTTAAAATATTATTTTGTGTGTATAATGTATGTGGGACATAGATGACAACTTTGGAGTCAGTTCTCTCCTTATGCATTTATGTGCATTCTAGGGATTGGAACTCGGGTTGTAAGGCTTGTGCAGTGTGCTAGATAGCTTCAGTAGTCACCCTGACACATCTGGGTAGAGGTAACATCAACTGAATTTCCTGCATTGGGTTGGTCTATGGTCATGTCTGTGGGGCATTTTCTTGCTTGTTGAGTGATGTAAGAGGTTCCAGATCACTGCAGGTGGTGCCACTGATGGTCCTATCTTATATAAGAAAGTAGCACATGCCTTTAATCCCAGCACTTGGGAGGCAGAGGCAGGTGGATCTCTGAGAGTTCAAGCCACTAAGCAGCATACCTCCAATATCTGTGCTCCAGGTTCCTGCCTAAAGTTCCTGCCATAGCTTCCCTCAATGATGGGTTGTGAACTGTAAGCCAAATAAACCCTTTCCTTTTCAAGTTGGTTTTAAGTCAATGCTTTTATTTATTTATTTGGTCTTAAAAAAAAAAAAAAAAAAAAAAAAAAAAAAAGATAGGGTCTCCCTATAGCCCCAGCTGGCCTAGAACTCACTATCTAGATCAGGCTGGCCTGGAATTCTCAGATATCTACCTGTTGGCCAATGTTTTTAACCACAGCAATACAAAGTAACTAAAACATATGGCAAGAGCTTTACCTGCTGAGCCATCTTGCCATCCCTGTATGCTAAGTTTAATTCTTCAATGTATATGGTCAAGGATGAGATTCATTTCACAAGAAAACTCCATATTGTTTCCCAGAGTAGACAGACAAATGTACACTATCACTAACTCTGTGTAAGGGTTCCTTTTCCCCTTCATCTTTAGAATAATTTGTGCCTTGCATTTCCTGAAAAAAGCCTTGTTGTTTTGGATCTAAATATAATTTACACTGCATTTCCCTAACTACGTAGTATACTGAACACATTTTCGTGTTTTATTGCCCAGGTGAACTTCTGAGAAGTGCCTTCATTTTCTTTACTAATTTATTGTCTAGATAATTTGTTCTTTTGGTGTTTGACCTAAGTTCTACACATAATATAAATGTTACTCTTATGTTGGATTAAGACCTGGCAAAGATTTGTTCCTGATCTATTGGCTGTCCATTTTGATTATATAATCAGATTTGTGAATTCTTTTTTGGACATAGGGTTAATACAGAGGGAATGCAGTAAACTCAGTAAGTAACTGAAGATGGTCTTCAGCTTTTTTTTTGGGGGGGGGTGTCTCCCTGTAGTCCTAGCTGGCCTGAAACTCAGTATGTAGACCAGGCTGGCCTCAAACTCAGAGATCTGCCTCTGCCTCCTGAGTGCTGGGATTAAAGGCATGTGCTACCACACTGGGAGGATCTGTCAATTTCATCTGTAGTTTCAAAAAGCAACTCACTGATCCTTTGTATTACTCTTTTATATTTCACTAATTGATACTTATTACTATTTCTTTTCTTCTGTTTTGTTTGGATTGGTCTTGTTTTCCTAGGACCTTGAGGTGAATCATTATTTCCCTTTTTTAGTGTATAGAATAATGAGTTACTTTATGATAGATTTACATATGTATACACTGGAGACCTGCTTTTTAAAGACAGGTATTCATGGCTATGTATTTCCCTCTAGGAATTGCCTTCGTGAGTTCTCAATGATTCTTGCCAGCTGTGTTTCACTTTGTCCATTTAGAAATTTAATTTATCCCTTCTTTCCATTTTTTTCTTTCTTCCACACTGTCTACACATTGCTGCTCTCCATTTATTGATATTCCCCTTCTAAGGTTTCAGTGTGTATTTTCTTGTAGAATCTTTCTGAATGTCTCAAAGATGCTACTTCCCCATGAAGCATTAAACTGACCCTTTATTTCATTCACCTGCTCATATGAATGCTCTTTGAAATCACTAACCATTGCTAAACTCTTCCTGTCTTTCAGCTTTTGGCATGTAGTCTTTGTCTCTTTGATACTTCCGATTCCCAGAGCAGCAAGGAGAAAACTTCACTCTTCCATCATATCCTGAAAATTCTGATATCCTCATTTTCATTTTATTAAGTACTCTCTTTGACAACTAATTTCCAAATGTATACCTCCATTCTAATTACGATCACTATTGTGTCTTTACTCACCTATTACATAACAAATTTGGAAAAGTCATCACAAAATAAAATTAAAATAAGTGAATAATTCCTTAAGTTTGTTTCATGTATTTTATAAATAAAACCTAGTATTTTTTCCTCTACTCCTTATAAACATTCTGTGGCACTTATGATGATACACTATATAATCATTTCACTTTTCTCTCATAGCCCATGCCTTTGTATGATTCCTATACTGTGATATCTGCATTTCACAAAGAAAACTACAAGGCAATCAAATGGCAAGTATTGAAATAATATGACAACAAATGCCCAATTTTAATAACTATGACAATTTTTAAAAAGGAGAGGGACAACTAAGAATTTAAGTAAAACACCAAAACAAAAATATACGTAAGAAGATCTATATAATGATTAGAATTTTGACAAATTTAAGAAAACATACTTCAACATAAAAATGACGTATTTTGCTGGGTGTGGTGGTGCCCAGTTTTAATTCGGGAGGCAGAGGAAAAGAGATCTCTATGAGTTTAAGGACAGCCAAGTCCACAAAGTGAATTCCAGGCTAGACCATGTCTTAAAAAATAAAACAAAACAAAAAAGACAGAAAATCCTTTATAGAAACTGGAAAACACAAGTTTCTAACCTAGGAGACCAACTGTCTTCTGGACTAGGTTTTGATAAAGGCTGATATAAAAGCAGTTTAATATGAGTTCCATTCTTGCTGTCCTCCCTCGCCAAAAATAGATTCACTGACCTAGAAGGTTCTGGATTGAATCTTCAGCTACAATCCATGGCTCAAATCCACACTCCAACTTAAAGATCAATTCAGGTTTGGTCATGCAGTGCCCTGTAAATGGGAAATATAGAAATTGTGCCAACTGATATGTCAGGTGCACTCTATTTAAAGAACAATGCTATGATTAATCAATTAAAAACTTTCATTACAGATGGTTTATACCTATTCAACTGCACGATAAGTAAACCAAAATGATATTAACAAACTTGCAGTCAAAGCAAAATAAGAGCAAAAACAATGAAATTAGATAAACATATGATATTTAAGAAAATTTGCATATGGTATTTAGGAAAATTTGACTAAGAAATCAGCATAAGAAAGAACCAGGTAGAAATACTGCAAGGGAGAAGCACAAATAATCAAATGGAAAAAATAAATAAATACGAAGCAAAAGACACAACAGATTAAATGATCAGAGAAAAGAAAATCTGAACACAAAGAATATTTATTTTAAAATAATCAGTGCTGATTAGGAAACTCAAAAGAATATAAGGAATGATGGACCTTTTCAAATAACTTTGTCATTAAGAATGCAAATATCTAGCACTGAGGAGGCAGAGAGAGGCAGATCTCTGTGAGTTTGAGGCTAGCCTGGTCTAGATAGCAAGTTCCAGGCCACCCAAGACCACGTAGTGAGACCCTGTCCCAAAAACGGAAATATTTGCATCATCCATGTTCCAGGAGAAAAGAAAAAGAAAATAAAAATATAGAGATTCAGTGAAAGAAGTTTATTTTATAGGAAAAATAATTCCAGGAAACAAAGTAACTCCAAAAGGCTTGGCCAAAAAAGAAACGAAAAAAAAAAAAAAAAAAAGATTCTGTATCACATAGTCAAACTGGCAAAACACCAAGACAAAGAGAATTCCAAAGGCTGCAAAAGGAAAGCCTTAAGCCACTTACAAAGAACACCCACCCACTGGTCAGTCATCACCTTTGAGCATTACCTTACAGCATTATAGTAATTTCAAAACTAGACATGGATACAACCACCAAACGACTGATCCTTTATCTTCAATGAACATTTGTACAAAAACTACCAACAAAATAGAAAATAAGATAGAAGAACAGAAGAAGGTTATAAACTGTGATCATCTGTAATTCTTCCAGGGAAGCAACATGCACAACATGGACATTCACAAGGTTTTGCTGCAATCACATATTGAACAATAAAAACACACACACAAAAAAAAATCTATCCACATTCAGGGGTATACTTGGGATCAAAAGTCTACTCTAGGGCTGGAAGGATAGCTCAGCAGTAAAGAGCATTTACTGCTCTTGCAGGAAGACCCAGGTTCAGTTCCCAGCACCCACATGGCCACTAACAGAAGTCCATAAATCCAATTCCAAGGGATGTGATGCCTCTTCTGACCTCCGCAGGCACTGCACAACACAAGAGCATTTCTGTGCAGGCAAAACACTCATACACATAAAAATAAAATAAAATTTTTTAAAATTAAAAAATCTACCTGAAAGGCCAGGTGGCTAATGTGTATTTACCAATATGTGGTACAGTTTGGAGACAGTATCCAGTGGAGGAAAAGGATGTCAGTCACATGGACAAGACCTTGAGTGGATTGGGGATGTGGGCCCTCTGTTTCTTGGCTTCCTTCTAAAAGGCCAGGGGTGAGGAGCTATGGCCTGGCAGGTACTCCCTGCCATAATCTTCCTCAACACAGGTTCAAGTAACTATCATCTGAAACCTCTGAAAAAAATCAAGAAACAAAATAAATCATTCCAACTTTTAAGAGGTTTACCTCAAATAGTTTTTCAGTGTAACAGAAAGATAATTAAACTTAGCCTGTCAACAGATTTTCCACAAAGGCTTCAAGTACTTATGTTCTGGAACTAAGACTTAAATCTGAGGAAAAGATTAAGGACCCTCTTTTACAGAAATATCTAAAAATAGCTGGGTGTGGTTGCACACACCCACTATCTAGAAGGCAGAGGCAGACAGATCTCTGTGACATGGAGGGCAGCCTACTCTACATAGCCAGTTTCAGGTCACCTGGAGTTACAGGGAGAAGCTGTCTCAAAACAAAACAAAGTAAAATAATCCTCTGAAGAGAAAAGAAAGCAATCAAGAGATGACTATACAAGCTACAGATAGAAAAAAAAATACTGGCAAACTAATTAGTAGAATATATAAGAAACCTAAATACCTAAACAGCAAAAACACGACCTGATTAAATGTAGAAAAATAGCCTGAATAGACATTTCTCTTTTTTAACATTTTATTATTATTTTATGTGTATGAATGTATTGCCTGCACATAGGTAGGTGCACCCATATGGTGCAGTGCCACAGAGGTCAGGAGAGGGTGTGGGATCCCTTGGAAGTGGAGTTAAGGACAGTTGTTAACCTCCATGTGTTTGCTGGGAATCAAGCCTGGGTCCTCTGCAAGAGTAGCCAGTGCTCTTAACTGCTGAGCCATCTCTCCAGCCCCAAATAGACATTTCTTAACTATAACATACAAATAGCTCACAAGTATACCAATATTTAACACACTTAATCATTAGGGAAATGCAATCCAAACCAAAATAATAAAAACCATATTGCAATTGCAACAGCGATACACAATAACAAAGTTGAAAGCACTCATAGATCATGGAGGTATAAATAAGTACAGCTACTACAAAATACACTGTGGGTGCCTCAAAAACTAGACCCAGAACAACTATATTTGTACTATCCCACTGTTGGATACAATCTAAGGAAATGACAAGAGCATTTTGCCGAAAAATCTGCACTCCCACATTTATTATAGCAATGTTCACAAAAGCCAAGATGTATGATTTCTCCAGGGCTAGACCCCTCTGCCCTATAGGAGGATAGGGGCTGAGACATTAGCAGACCACCTGAGAGCTACTGGATCTAGGCTCTGCCTGGTGGTAAGCTTCCCTAAATTATGCCATGCCCAACCCCCTAAGGCCCCATACAAGTCCCCAGTTCTAGACCTCTTTGCCCTAGAGTAGGAGCAGACTCCTCAGCAGACTGCCTGAGACTGCCTGGATCCAGCTTCCACTTGGTGGTGAGCTTCCCCAAATCATGTAGTGCCCAACCCCCTGCATTGGGACATGTGACCCATCCCACTTCGCCAGGGCTAGAACTCTCTACCCTACAGTAGGGACTGAGACCTTAGCAGACATCCTGAGAGTGCCTGGATCTGGCCTACCCATGGTGATCAGCTTCCCCAAATCATACCATGCCCAACCACCTAATAGTGACCATGTGAGACCCCTCCCACTTTGCCAGGGTTAGCATTCTCTGCCCTACAGTAAGGGATGAGACCTTAGCAGACTGCCTGAGAGTGCCAAAATGAGGCTTCCCCTTAGCAAACATCCCAAATTGTGCTGTGAGTTATCTGCTAGTAGGGGTCCAAACATTACAGGAAGCCTGAGTGTACCTGAGTGGTGCCTGACTTGGGCTTCTGTGGGAGCTCCTGAGTAGCTGATCTGAAATCATCAGTTACCTCCAAAATAAAGCCTGGGAGATCCTAAAACCTAGACCAACCAGCTTCACATACCCAGTAAGAAAACCAAGAAAACACCAATAATAAAAACAGATGCAGACTTCAACTCAACAGAAGAAGGCTTCAGTTTGAAACCAGAATCACAAACAAAAGAAATTGACATGCCAAAATAACAACAAAAAATTAAAGATATGGAAAACCAAAACACCAAGTGCCCATCAAACTCCACCAGTTCTGTAGAAGAGTTCTACAAGGAAAATCTTCTAGAGATAGCCCAGGGAACAGAATTTAAAAGAACGACCATAAACATGATCAAAGAATTCAACAAATTTAAAGAATGCACAAACAAACAATCAAAGAACTAAAAGAAGATGAGGGGCTGGAGAGATGGCTCAGTGGTTAAGAACACTGGCTGTTCTTGAAGAAGACCAGGGTTTGAATCCCAGCACCCACATGGCAGCTAACAACTGTCCATAACTCCAGCTCCAGGGGATCCAACAGCATCTTCTGTCCTCCACAGGCATTGGCCAACACGGGTGTACTTACCTACATACAGGCAATACAAAAATACACATAAAATAAAAATAATGTTTTTTAAAAAATAATAAAATAAGCTGGGCATGGTGGCGCATGCCTTTAATCCCAGCAATCCCAGCACTCGGGAGGCAGAGGCAGGCGGATCACTGTGAGTTCAAGGCCAGCCTGGTCTACATAGTGAGTTCCAGGACAGCTGGGGCTACAGGGAGACTCTGTCTCAAAAAGACAATAATTAATAATAATAATAATAATAATAATAATAATAATGAAAAGAAGATAGAGATAAACTTCTGACTAAAGTTAGAAGAGATCAAAACATGAAGAAAACTCAGGCTAAAATGAAGAAGGAAGTGAAAAACTTAACAAGCCAGTTTGAAACAGGAGAAAGTCTGAAGGATAGAATGGAAAACAGAGTATCAACACTGGTGGATAAAGTTGAAGAATTGGACTGTTCAAGCAAAGATTATGAAAATTCTTTTAAAACATAGGAATGAATATGTGGGAAATGTTGGACACCATGTAAAGACCAAATCTATGCATCCTAGAAGAGAAGCACAGGTAAACGGTATTGGCTAGATCTTAAACAGGATTGTAGAAGAGAATTTCCCAAAATTAAGGAAAGACATCCCAATACAAATAAAGAAGCACATAGAACACTATATAGACAGTACCAGAAAAGAAACTCCCCATGGTATATCATAGCAAAACCACTAAATGTACAGAAAAAAGAGAGACTACTGAAACCTACAAAAGAAAAACAAGTCACATATAAAGGAAAACCCATCAAAATTCCAGCTGACTTAGCAATGCAAACTATGAAAGCCAGAAGAGCCTGGAACAAGGTATTTCCTGTTCTAAATGACCATAGATGCTAACAGAAAATACTTTACACAGCAAAACCATCTACTATAGTTGAAGGGGAAAGAAAAATCTTGCACGACACAAATAGGCTGAAAGAATACATGTCCACAAGACCAGCCCTTCAAAGAATACTTTAAGTAATACAAAGAACAGAGAAAGGAACAACCATACCCCAGATGCA